CGAGCCGCGAGCTAATTAGTCCATGATGAGAGCTGTGTGTCCGGACGCAACGTATAAAATCGGACAGTCCTACACGAGATCGTGTCTCCATGATGCATCAACGTTGAGAAATGCACGTATCCTTCAAATATGTGAGGAATCAAGCACCGACATGCATGTCCAGAATTCCTGACGCGGTCATGACCAAGCTATCTATATGATATATGTAGAGACTCGCTGTCATGCATGAGTCAGCTAGCTCATGCATGCAATTTGCATACATGCGCGCCCGCATCAATATATCAAGGTCATATGCCTTCCATGCACAATGCAGGTTGCAGTATGCCGTCCACAAAGAATTCTTGGACTTGCCCTTTCCGCAAGTTTCGCTGTATATCACAGAAGGTAGTTCGGTTGGATTAAAGCATGATCAATTTCAACGACGACAACGGTCTATCATTCCGGGCAATACCTTGAGCCATGCATGCTTCGGTGCGGGCTTTATGATGTGCACGCTATTTGCATCTCAGTGTTGATTTATCCACCTGCTTGGAACCATGATCAGCCAAAATCTGGTTAAGCACAATTGAGCCTGTGGAATGGCCGACAAGAACCAAATCTTGCAGTTCGGCATACCATCAATGACTGTACATATACCTGTACTTAAAAACAATCAATCGAGCTTAACGCGTCTAGTATATATAAAGCTAGCGGAAGCTTCCCTAAACCCCCGACCCAACGATCAGGCGGCCAAGAGCTCCTGCCCAATAACAGACCACAGCAAAAAGCGGACCCGGTCACAAGCGTAACGTGGGTCGCGTGGCCTGCATACCAAGGGTCTTGCGACCCTTCAACCTGGATACCTGCAACTCCACCTACAAAATAAGCTGCGTCGCCACGATTACCAATCCGCAAAAAGGGTCGTATCAAACGTCGTCAACTCTTCGTCGGCAAAAGGGGTGCCGCCCTCCTTGTGCCCCGTCTTGGCCAGCCCCGTCAGCCGTTCCTGCACCTCCGGGGGCGCTTCCGCCGAGGCGGTCGCGATTGCCTCCCAATCGACTTCCCGGAACCAGGGGTGCGCTTTCAAAACGTCGACGCCTGTGCAGCCTAGACGCTGCGCCGGGTTGACCACCAGCAACTGCAGCGGAACAGGAGCATCGTCTGACATTGAGATTCACGACAATCAGCGCGTCTTCGTACCAACGAGAGAGGTTCTGCGGGGCGCCCAAGTCAGGACAGTGGAAAAGAGGGTTAAGCCGGCCTCAGATCTTTACGATTCTCTTTGCTTCGTGCTTTTCAGCCGCTGAAGGGAATCGAAGTAGCGCGCCACTACACATGATGCTCTTTCTGGTTGCTCGGTCCTGCTTTGGACTTTACCTGACGCATAATCCTGCTGTTCATCAGGTAGAGTCACTGCAGTCCAGACGACAGAGCTCCCCCAGACCCCGTGGGTAGCAAACGTAATCATGTCGAGTACCAATCTGTCAAAAGGCTGATACTCTCGCCTTAAGGACGAAACACGCCAACCAGACAACGTAAGAAACCAGGATTTGACCTCCATCTTTCTGACCTTCAAAATTTAATCCTTGAGATCCGACCCCCCTTCCATATGATGAAGCAACTTCCTCGAGCAGCCCAGGAGAAGAGCCAAATGACTACCAACAAATGAGGGGGTGTAACAAAACAGAAAGCACCGCGGCTCCCACCTTGTCAATCAGATCTTTGGCCTCGCTCGAGAAGTGGTCCGGGAAATGAAGCTCCCGTTTGGTGATCCGCTCAAAGATGGCCAACTCGCTGTCCCGGACGTTGCCGAAGGGGGCCTCGCCAGCTAGCAGGCAGAAGATGAGCACGCCCAATGCCCACCTGAGAAAGAACGACATCCCGTCAGACAGGGCCCCAGCTCAGCAGAACCAACTGTTCGTCAAGAAGAATCAGAGTAGTGCTCTTTCACACCAGCGGTTTATAAGTGTCGGCAGGTTTAAGTGCGTTGGTCCAATTCCCGACTGCTATCTTTCATGGCCCCTTTGACACAACGTCAGGAAAGGTTGCCGAAAAGCCCAGCAGGCTCAAACTCTGTGCGCCAAATCTATGCGGCTGACAGCGCCGTCTTCCTCTGGCTGGTCTTGAGCCCGAGCAGATTGATAAGAGCGGTCCACACGAAACGAACCGCTCCGAAAGGACAAGCAACCCGCAACTCACAACACGTTGGAGACTACCGAGATTTGCAGCGCTGCCATCAGAATTTCAATGTCGAAACACAGGCTCCCAGTGCTCCGTTTAAGCTGTGTTTCGTGATATTTGACAGAAAGCAGGTGTCAGAACTTCTCCTGCCAGGGTCTGCATTCCTAGGCTTTGTCATGCAGGCCGAAGCCCTGATGCTCAAATGAAAAGGTGACGATGCAATGTCCTCACCAGTCTGCTGCTGTGTCGTGGCCCACCCCCTTGATCATCTCCGGCGCTAGGTAGTCCGGCTGCCCGCATAGAGTAAACGTGCGGCCGTCCAATAACCGCTTCCCGAAGCGGAAGTCAGCCAGCTGGGAAGACAGCAAGATGCGTATCAAATTCCGGCCGAGTCGGCTGAGAATCGCAAGAAGATCCCAAGGGCTATGTTCGAAAGCTCGAAATAATGTGTGCTCATCGGCTGAAATAGTCAAGAGGTAAGTAAAGGAGAGCTTCAAACACCGGATACGAGAGAATGGAAACTCTGCATTTGGACGAACGAGCCGTTGAGTCGGCACAACATTGCTTGGAACACAATAAGTAACTCCTTTTCTCAAATGCTTTCAGGATGACAGAGGTCCTTCAATGCGGGACTACAGGCTTTGGGGTGCATCTTGACGAGGAAGTCAGGCGTCGCACAAAGGGATGCTCAATCATTTGAGTCAAGGAAAAACGGTGAGAAAGCTGCCCTCAGCGATCGAGCCCTCGGATGGAACATTCCGGAAGCTGCAGTAGATGACCCCAGAAGCGGCACCCACATCCGCAGGCGCCCGTGTGGCTAACAGTAACTATCGGTCTTCTTTATTTTGGTGCTTCCACCCTACTGACGAGACGCCCCCTCACCTGCAGGTGTCCCTGGCAGTGCAGCAGCAGCGTGTCCAGGCACACCCCGCGGTACAGCACGTCGTTACCAAAATGCGGCTCGTTATCCGGTTGTTTGTGTCCTTACCCCGAGAATGTCTAGTGTGGTGTTAAAACCCCCTCACCTGCAGGTGTCCCTGGCAGTCCAGCAGCAGTGTGTCCAGGCACACCCCGCGGTACAGCACGCCGTCGCGGTGCAGCTGCTCGAGCGCGAGGACCACCCCCGCAGCATAAAACTGCGCGGTCGCCTCGCTGACGTCATCCGGGAGGAGCGCGACGAGCGGCCCCGCGAGGCGCGCCTGGAGGACCATTCCGACGGACAGGGCGTCGGACGTCCGGCAGAGGAGGCCCGGGATGAAGACGGACGGCGCAAGGGAGAGCACGAGCGAGCGCTCGCGAAGGACCTGCGCCTGGCGCTGGTGGGCGGCGACGCGGGGCTTGGAGAAGCGCTTCAGCGAAAAGACGTTGCCTGGAGAAGACGAAAAGGGCGGGATCAGGTTCGATTGAAGGGCAAGGGTAAGAATTTTCGTGCAGGGCTTGAAGAAGGGCTCTGCGGAGGACACGGTGTGTGAAGAAGGGGGAAAACAGTAGTCAGGGTAGGGAGGCAATGGAATGACTTTGTAGTGCGGGGCTTAGAGCAGAACTTGGAAGGAAATAATTCTTGAAGAAATTATTGGACGGGGAAGAAACGTGGCCCAGGGCGGGGTCTACAGGCTGTGAGACCTTCGCAATGATAATCCAACCAACTCCGTTGCTTGACTGGTCGTTTATCCTTTCTTCTTCCGAGGAAGAGCAGCTGAAACTTGATTCTTCAGGCGGCGATCTTCGCGACTCGTGCATCTTATGCCAGCAAAGTGGACCGTGAGAGGAGCGATTGCGAGCGACGCACCTGCTTTCTGGTGTGTCACCAACCCGATGTCCGAAACGTCAGTACTGTACACCGTCTCCTGCCACTCCTGCGGGGGAAGCGACGGGCTTTCTTTACTTCCTGTGGGTTTCAGAAAAGTACTGGACCATTCCGCTGATCTTCGTAAAGCCCCTGTGACAGCGGATGGAACTCGAGACACTAATGAAAGAACCCCCGTGACACCATCAAAGCCAAAGTATCAAGTAGAAGCCACTCAACATCGAAGAAAGAGTCCTGAAAAGTCGGGAGAATTTCAACGGGACTCTCGAGGTAAATGAGCAAGGTGGGGAGAGTGGTGACACGCGTGGAATCCACAACAGCCGTCCCCAAGACGGGATGAGGGGATAGTTACCGCTCTGATCGAAGCCAACTCTTTCGCAATTTCTTACAACTGTTTTATTACACATTCCTCGAAGATAAACGCACGGCGTTCAATTTAAGGTCAACGAGTAGCTACCATCCGCACCAAATGACATAACGAGTGAAGCCGTTGATTCTGTCCACAAATCTTCATTCGTATCCAATTTATGAAGGGTAAGCGCCATTGAGTGTGATTGCACCGGGTGGGGTTGGGTAGGTGGGTAGGCTGGGTACGGGCGCGGAGCATAGAACTATTGCTTTACGTTTTAGTGAAGTGTTGCTGTTACCCTTCATGCAATCGAGAACTACAGAATCTTCATCTAGCAACACGCAGCTCGTGACACGGAACCACATTGCTGAGCAGACAAGCGACGCCGCAAGCAAAGGCTGCAGGAGCTCACCAAGTCTTCCATTCTCGTCCCCGCAAACGGATTCACCACCTGCAGCCCCCGACTGCTGGTGCTCCCTCCCTCGTCGGGCCCCTCACTCAACCTGCAAGCGCGAGGAACGTTTCCAAAAAATCATCAGGCCACCATTCAAGTGTTTTTCTTTACTCTTCTTTGTAGATCCCAGGAATTTCGGTCTTCTTTATTTTTCTTTGTTGATCCTAAGAAGGAAGGTCAACGCCAAGACATTTAAGCTGTATGTTCTAGGATAAGAAAATTTGGCGTTCTGAAAGAAAGCACTCTTTCCATGGAGCTGCTCTACCGAAGCTACGGGACACGAGCAGAGCGGACGTTTTAAAATTGGCCAGTTGTTCTCCTGCACCCATTCTTCCTCGAGTAGAACTCAGAAAACATCGACCGCCTCTCCAACATACAGCGAGCGTTCATTCTTGTTTCATTGCTGCGGACATGCATGTCTGCCGCTCCACCTGCAGGCCTGGGAGACTGTCCGTCTCCGACAGAAGGGAGCCACAGGACCTGTATGAACCCCTTTGACATCACGGCTTCAGCTCCCTCTCCGTCTGGTCTTACAACCGTGCTTGCATGAAGCGGAAAAAGATGAACGAAGCGAGTCCGGCCCCGGCTAACGACCCTGACTCTCACGAACCCACAGTATCGGACCGAACGGTGTCAGACCACTGTTTGCAAAAGTCGCTTCGCGCGTCCTTCCTCGCAGAAGATTTGAGCCCCGAACGATCGAATTATAAGCTCGAAGTCCGGTTCGCCAGAGCCTGAGACCTCCAAAATTGTCACCCCAGAGGATCACAGCCTAAAAACCCGACCCCCGCACAGCCTCACCTGTGCAAGTGGTCTTGCAATGTGGCGAGCGGTCCCCCGTGGACATCCTGTAGCAGCTCCTTGTTCACTAGCAGGCAGGTGACCACCCCCCGGGCAACCACCGCGCCGCCCCGCCCGGCGGACCCCCCCATGTCGGACCCCATCACCGAAACAGCCCCCGGGGCCCAACATGCGCACTGCAAGGGGGTGGGTGTCTGCAAGTCACCGGGAGGGACGGAGCTTAAGATGGTTCGTTGCTTGAAAGGAAGTTTTGGAATGTACGTACTCTCAAAAGGTGCGCTGACGAAGTTGTCCCCGTGCTTACTCGTAAGATTCGGAGTCGTTGCTTGGATGCGACGTCTTGAGGTAAGGAACGCTTGTAACCTGACATTCTGGCTACTGATCGGGCAATTGAAGCACGTTTTGACCTGTTCGACCCAACGCAAGCACACCTCTCAGCTCGTAAGAATTCGGCTCCAATTACCAGCTTCAAAACCTGTTTCTTGTTTCGTTTCCAAGTCAAAGAAGCGTGCACTGAACATTGTGTCCAGCTTAGAAGGCATGCCTGATTCAGACAATGTAACCCGTCTATTGACCGAGCCCAGCCCGCCTTATTTTAGTGGCCCTAGCCAATCATGACTTAACCCACTGAGAACAAGAGGAGGTGTGCGCACCAGAGCCTGACGTGCCCTCCTCCTTTCCCACGTCCGCGTTTGCGTGCAAGGCGCCGTTGGCAGTCAACGGTGAAATTTCAACCTCCCCTTGTTCTATTATGAACATCGCCTCACTCTCCTCCCCCTGCGGCAAGTTCGAAGACGAATGAGTCAAGAGTCGAAGCACTATGGGACGTTGATATTTGGGCCTATGACCCAAACCCGAATTGGACGGAAACCCAGAACATTCTAGTCGGTATTGGTCTTGGGCGAATCGAATTCACAAAGGACTGAAAACGGAGCTGGTTTAGCAGCGAACGATGTCCAAGCGCGCAGCAGGCTTGTACTCACGTTTGCAAGAAATGACGCTGCCAATGTGCTACGAAAACTTCAGAGGGTCTAGGGTCAGCAAACTTCGAATGGCCGATGATCGGCATGCCGGACCGCTCAATTAGTAGGGGCAGTACATTCGGAACAGGAAACGACAGTCTGACACCTCCTGATTCTGCAACACGCAGTTCCCAGGCTCGATACAACGACTTCCTTTGTCGACGGCTGGCAAAGGTGAAAGGGCTCACTGCCTTCAAGATGACGTGCCCCTCGGCACAGCACGCCTTTGCAACATTTTTTTCTCAAGCGCTTTCTTTCTGTTCTGGAGGAAATGGCAACGACGAAACCGCTCACCTCTTTCAAGATGACGTGTCCCGCCGCGTAGCACACCTCGGTGGCCGCGTCGGCGAGGCGCTGCAGCTGCGAGTGGTGCAGCGAGCGCAGAAGATCGGCGCTGCGCAGCGTTTTGAGCAGCTTGCGGTTGGTGCTCTTGTGGAGGGATCCCCGGAAGGCCGCACGGTCGAGCGCCCACAGCACGCCCGCGGTGATGGCGCGAATCGACGCCTCGCGGGGCTTGTTGTAACTGCAAGATGTAAAGATTCGGAGTTTTAGGGCCTTTACACAGAGAGCGGGTGTTTTTTGTTTCGATCGACAATACAGCAGGGGTCGCAGCGGTACCGTCGCCAGAAAAACACCACGGGTGTTTTTGCCAATTCGCCAACGCGTACG